AGATCCGAAAAAAATGGCAGCAATTTTTGGGATGTTCAGCATTCAAAACAAGTTGAGAAACGTCAAGCCTAGAATTGAGCATTGGGAATTAATTGGAAAATCGTAAGGAGGAGGACGTTCTTTTGACTCGCCTCAGAATTGGTCACACTAGAGTGACACATAACTATCCTTCTCAAAAGCTGAAAATGAGCCTGTTTGTTTTAATTGTAATGTTTGTTTATCTGTTCGTCATATTTTAATTGAGTGTCCATGTTTTAATAGTCTTCGCCAGAAATATTTTAATAGCTGTGACTTACCTCTCGACCGTTTAATCGGAAGAGAGGTCAATTCTAATTTATTTTATTATTTAAAAGAGATTGGCTTTTATTACCAAATGTAATTTGTTTTGAAGACTGTCTCTTGAATTTTAATATGTGCTTTTAACTTGTGTTTATATGACTTCATCCTCTGGATTTGGTACATTTCTACTTGTTTACTTTATTTTTTTATTTATTGAATTTTAATGTCATCAATTGTAATCATCTCATCTTTTGTTTGGCGCGTCATAATCATCTCTGGTTTTGCGCCATAATCACTCACTCACTCACACTCACCCAATTGAAAAATTTTAATACATTAAAAATGCTATATGTGAATAAGTTTGTATTTCATATGACTGGAGTACTAAAGGGGTACTAGAGGGGATGGATACATTAGAGGATATTACATACAAAAACGGGACAATAAATCTAATATGCAAAAGTCCAATATGTAGATTAAATCCTCTTTTTGAAAAAGACATACGGTCATACATACAGACTTATATAAGAAGGACAAGCTGCATGTAAGGGAGCACCAAAAACGATGCATTTTAGAATTATAATAAAATGTATAATTAAAACCAGTATGTACATAAACTACCAAAATGAGTATAAATGACAAACTATTGTAAAAAATAAAATACAGAGGTCTAGATAATAATATATAATACTAGTAGAAACAAGGTATAACTATATGACTTGCACAAAAATATATTCTATACAAATTCAATTAAGGAAAAATAGTTACTGAATATATATACGGTACAGCATAAAATAAAAAGGAAGGATTAGTATAGAAGTAGTTGCCGTAAGTATGACCACTACATACATATTAGAAATACAATAAAGTGTATAATTAAACCAGTAAACTGCCAACATAAGTGTAAATGACAATCTATAAGAAAAGGTACAATACAGAAATCTAGATAGTGATATATTATACAAATAATAACAAGCTATAGCAATATAATATGCAGAAAAACATATTCAAAACTGTTCAAAGAAGGACTAATAAATACAGAATACATATATAGTACAGCATAAAATACAAGGAAAGAATTAGTATAAAGGTAATAGCTGAATGTAATACTAAGCTGCTTGACACAGGTCTGTACCATAATCATACAAAATATTCATAATTTGGGTAACTTTGGTAATTAAATGTTTTTGCTTAATCAAAAACTTCTTAAAAGCTCTTTGGCCATTTGTTGGAAACTGAATATGAAAGTTTTGTGTCAGGGGACACGTAGTAAGATAATGGCTCCGGATCCCCTACGTTACCACATACACATAATTCAGAATTAGAAGTGCCATGTCTATTAAAATAGCATGGAAATGGTCCATGGCCTGATATAAAACGTACCAATTGGGGATTGCTAAATAGTCGGTCTTGATTGACGTAGGTTACAAAGTCATATGCCCTTCGGCCAGTATCGGCATTGTCCCATTCTAATTGCCACTGAGATAAAGTTTTCATTAGAATAGTACGTTTTAGAAATGAGATTGGCCACTTAACCATGACCAGGGCTGCAGTAGAATGTTATATTTATAGCAGCTTGCTTTGCTAAAATGTCAGCATGTATGTTACCAGTGTTGTCAGCATGACCCCTGGTCCAAGCAAGCATTATATTGGACTGAGGATACTGGCGAAGTTCCTGCTGTATTTGTGATATAATGGGAGATTTGTGGCGGTGATGTTTAATGGCTTGTAAAGAAGATAAACTATCAGTGATAATCATGGTTTCTGAATGTGGCTGTAGTTGAAAATGTCTAACAGCGTGTAGAAGAGCAGATGCTTCTGCTTGGAAGACACTATTTTGTGAGGATAGTTGACCTTGCCATTCATATATAATTTGAGAGTCTAAATATGCCACCACAGCACAGCCAATATTTTGTTCAAGTTGAGATCCGTCAGTGTAGTAGGTAAGACTGGGAAGAGATGGTAATAATTCATCTTTAAGAAAGACTTTTGTATGTATTCCTTGAAGAGCTGGATGAATCGCAAGGGGATTAATTGCATGTTCATAATCACCAGGAGACAATAGGTCGTCAAGATAGACTGTTGGTTTATGAAGAAGTTTAATTGTTTGCAGAGCAGCCTCTTGCATACAACGTAATGGAAGCGGTATTAGGCCCGCTAAGACGTTTAAAGCACTGGTGGAGGTGGTACGATATGCTCTTGTAATTTGTAATGAAAACTGCCGTTGCATACTAAGTAAGTGTCGCTCCTTGCGGCCTTGCATGGGATGTGCCCATATAGCTGCCGCATAGGAGACAATTTTTTCTATAACAGCTGTATATAAAATTTTTTGGAAAACAGGGTTAAGTCCCCAACCATATCCTTGCATTTGGCGAAGTTTTTGAGCAATAATAGTGGTACGTCTTTTCAGATCTAAAACATGTTGTTGCCAATTTAATTTGTCGTCTATTGTGACACCAAGAAATTTGAGGGATGATTTAATTGGAATGGGATTACCATGGATGATTATTCTTGGCCTCCTATTGAGTGAACCTCCTTTCTTTGGTATTAGCAGGACTTGGGATTTGAGATCCGATATGCAAAGCTTGAGTTTGGAGCAGAGAGTATAGAACAGATCACAGGTCTCTATGGAGTTTTTCTGTAAATCTTCCCTTGTGTTTCCCTGAACCACAAATAGAGTGTCATCTGCATATACAAAAATTTGGGTGTGTGCTGGCAATGGAGCTTGAAGAATCTGATTAAAGGTAATATTCCACAGATCAGGTCCAGCACAGGAACCCTGTGGACAACCACGGTTTTGTGTCCTTGTGATGATGCCATTACCAGTGGGGTAAATGATTTGACGATCTGATAAATAAGAACATAGAGTAGTATAGATATTTTTGGGACAGTTAGACTGCCGTAGTGCATCTAAGATAGCTGGCCACCACAGTGAATCAAAAGCATTTTTTAGATCAATACTGATGAGCGCAGTGTGGCGACCTGAATTTCTATTGTTATGCACTTCTTCAATAATATGGTCCAAGATATGGAGCGTAGATTTCCCTGAACGGAAGCCGTATTGTCTTTCACTCAGGAAGTTTGTAATATGCAAATGATGTTTAAGTCTGTAGATTATTAGCCGTTCGTAAACTTTGCCCAAGGATGATAATAAACAAATGGGTCGATAGGAACATGGTAGACTAGGATCTTTGTCTTTCTTCAGGAAGAGAACCACTCTTCCCACCTTGAATATTTGTGGAAATACTCCAAGAGAAAAAAGCTTATTGAAATAGTCACAGAAAAAATATGGATGTGACATAATGATGGCACGAATAATAATATAATCCAAACCATCAGGGCCAGGTGCCCTTTTCTTAGGAAGGTTTTTGACAGTATGAATAATCTCCTGCAATGTTATTGCATGATCATCAGCAGTATTTGGAGTAGAGACACTGTTACGAATAGCCATCTGTTCAGGAGTATCATCCTGAATGTCCAAAGGAAGAACGGTATCCAGAATGTCATGGATTGTAGCTTCAGTTAATCCTGCGTTTGAGTTTGGATGTGTAGAAACATATAATTGCGCAGGGTGGAATATTTTATCTCTTGCTAATTTATGTGGCAAACCAAAAACATCTTGGTTTGTAGTACAGTAATGTCGCCAGGCTGCAATTTTACTTTGGATGATCATTCTTTTGTAGATGGCCCTTTCCCGTTGGAAAACTGTGAGAAGAGTAGATACTAGACCATGCCGACGTTCTGATTTTAATCGGCGCCGTAGCGCACGACATTTTTGTTGTTGTTGTCGAAGTTGAGGGCTCCACCAATGTAGAGAACATAATCGTTTGGTGGTGCGAATTGGCAAAAGTTCATGACAAAGTGTCACAAAAGAGGTCATCATATCATTAGAAAAGATTTCTATGTCTGATGGTGTAGAAACTGGTGTCAGTTCTTTTCGAAGTGCATTTAGTTTGCCTCTGATCTTTCGGGAGAATTGTTTAGCCTTTCTACCAGGGGAGGTTGAATCTTAGAAGGATAGGAACAGTAAGGCTTTCTTGTAATTCAAAAGTAATGTAACGATGATCAGATAGACTAACATCATCTCGTACTGTCCAATTTTGCAAAAGATGAGCAATATTGGGTGATACAAACGTCAGATCTGGCCATCCAATTGCAAAAAGTCTATCGAAAGTTGGCTCTGTATATGGAGAGTTGAATAGAACATAATTACAAGAAGAGATATATTCCTCCAAGGTTCGTCCTTTTGGATTAGTAACTGTGTATCCCCAAGCAATAGAGTGTGCATTGAAATCACCACATATAATGTGATTTTGGGGCCCAACTATTCGAGTAGTATCTTGCAGAAAAGAAAGTGTTGTAGAAATATCATCCGTAGGACTGTTATATAGAGAGAATAAAACTATAGATAAGTTGTGAAACTCAAGTAGTAGGACTACTTGATCCTTGTTAAGTGCGACGATAGATGGCATTAGGTGTGGATTACAAGTAATAATAGCAGTTCTTGGATGATCATCACAATCTTCTCTGCAATAAGTAGACCATCTCAGGGGAAATCCTAGAACCTTGCCTTGTCTAGTGTAAGGCTCTTGAGCCATGATAAAATCTATGTTATTATGAAGTGCAAACTCTATCACTTGTGCTGCAGCCGCCTGGAAGCGTTGAAGGTTAATCTGAACAAATTTTAGTCCTTGGATTGAAAGGACAGATTAGGGAATGGTTTATTCATAGGACGTGAGGCGTCTAATGCGCTCAATGTTGGATTGGTAGCAGAAGCACTCATTGGAATAGGCAGGATGTTCGATGGCAACTGTTGGTCGGCTGCTGTTATTGTGGTCGATGCAATTAATGCATGCTGGGGCATCGGCTGTACATTCTTTAGAGTCGTGGTGACCGGCGCAGTAGGCACAGTAATTTGTGCTTCTGCAGTCCTTCTGCACATGTCCAAATCTTTGGCATTTAAAACAGCGCTTGATATTGAAGTGTTCTGTAGCTGCATGACTTTGCCATCCAATACAGACTTTTGGGTAGCGCATAAAGACTTGGAAGGCATGGGGAGAGCATTCTGCCACCCATTTGACATTCCTACGCTGCTTGAGTTTGAAGAGAAATCGCACATCTGCGGCCTCTAATCCAAAGTCTTCTATGCGGGATTGTAATTCCGTAAGTTCAATGTCAGGAGGTAGATTATGAATCGCTATTAGTGGTTTTTTGACTGCAGGTAACTTAATATTGACTAGTGATGATGCTTTGTCTGAAGAGAGTGAGTGAACTAATTTTTGACGATCCTCCTCTGAAGAGCACGCTACTGCTAAACCTCCACGCTGAATGGTTCTTATTTGATGAACCTGAACTCCTAATTTAGGTAGAGGAAATTCCTGAGAGAGCTTCTCCCTCAATTTCCTGCTTGTTGTAGTAGCGTCTTTTGGATAAACCAGAAGGGTTGGAGCAGATGCAACAGGAAGGGGTTGCTGTTGTAATACGGCTGCGTAAGAAAGACCTGATGTGGAGGGGAGAGGAATCGAAGAATCGGCAGTATTAGCTGGTTGTAATACAGGTGGTGCGTGAGAAGCCTGGCAACACACTATTGTTGAAGTGTTCACTTCTGCCTCGGTGGTGGGTGGTTTAGGGACGTAATCAGGGCCTTGAAGTGCAACCTGTTTTAGGGCATCCAAAGAGCGTACAAGTTTTTCCCTAAGTTTTGATGGTAGAACGTGTTTACCACCTCTATATAAGGTTGCAATGGAATAAATGCTGTTATATAGCAGATTAACTTTCTCACTGTAATCCTGATCTGTAGCAATCAGTGCAAAGGGATCACACTCTTCCGTATTTAGTCTCAGCATTAATCACTGATATTCGAGACATTATTTGACATATGATGAGGAATTATAAATAATGAAGAGTAGTACACTATATACCAATTGATATTGAAATAATACACAAGATAATCCAAAGATAATATTAATGATAACGAAAGATTAACTGAGTAGATATGACTATAACAAGTAAAGTGACCCTAGGTACATTGGATCAGAGTATAACAGATATAAGCAGAAAATATAAAATTAGAGAAAATTATACTCTATATGCCAAAAAATAATATTATACTCAGGAAAAATTCACCAATAAGGGTAATATTATACAGGAATAATATACACAATTAATTTACTAAGAGTAAAGTAATGACACAAAAAGTACATGCCAAGATGAAAATCACAATGCATATAACAGTAAATACTGATAAAATTACAAAAATTATATGAATAGCACCAAAATATTAATACAGCATATATAAGAACATCAAATAATAGTCAATTAGCAAGAAAACTGCATAAAAACATAAGTTATGTCATTAAAAATGATGAAAATCGAAAATAGAAAAGTTGTCGAATGAGATTCCGACAAAAGTCAAATGTCGAGAAGGGTTCTCGACAAAAAGTTCGATGTTTCGACAAGTGTAAAAAATTCGTCAAAATCAACTTGCCTAAAAGACAGACCCTTCGGAGCTATCGTATATGATAATAGTCTTTAAATCTACTATACTAACAGTATTGAAAGTCAAATACATGCAAAAATCAAGTATTTACACACTATCTCGTTAAATAACAGTGTTACAGCAATGTAACATACACTAAAAGATAGAGCTTTTAATTTTACACATTTTGGTGAAAACCTTGTAAAAATATCATAATTATATACCGAGATATGAATTTTTAAACTTTTAACAAAAATTAGGAGAAAAATTTTCACAGAAAAGTGAGACCTACCTCGGCAACCACGTGGCAGCGAACGGGCACCCTTCCGTCGATGGTGCGGCTACCGATGTGAACACGTTTCCGTCAAAATTGCGGCAGCCTGGAATTCCTTTGTGTAATCACAAAAACACTAATTTTGAGAGAAATACGTGTCGTAGACTCACAAACGATGTATCCACAGATGCAGAATACCTTTAGACACACTTTAGGACAAACGGCGCACTTCCGGCGGCACTTTAGACGCAAGAAAAAGCACAAAAACTGGGAGCAGTCTCAACACACGTCCGATCAGGTCGGTGGTCCACACGGCTCTAAAAAGGAGGCGGCACAGGTGACAGGTGACGGAAGACGCGAGCACTGTACCTTTACCATAGTGGTGAACCAGTTCAGCACCGCGCCTCCCAATATCTAGAGCAGCCGAGACCACAGGAGAGCCGCGCACCCGGAGACGAGACCCAACGCCGGATCCACCCAGGGCAGTCCAGCGAACCAAATGCCCGGTGGGGACCCCCAACCCGTCGCCCAGGCCTCAGGTTTATTTAAAACCAAAGTAAAATTACATGGCCAAACAAGGGCTGACGTGTGACATGACAATGACACATATGACAATATTAATACAATAGACATATGACAATATTAAGACAAATACAACAATAGAACAATTACTGAAAAGTGAAAATATAAGTTCCAGTTCAACAATAAGCACTGCTTTACAACTTCAAACACTATAATTAAATTTAACCTAGGAGTTGTAGTGCACTAGATGTATCTTTATATTACATTATAGTGCTTTAAATATTATTTGCATACATCAGATCATGGAAATTACGACACTAAACCGCAAAAAAATATGCTACATATGAATGTTACAATAGTAGGCGCTACAGTTGAATATTACTTAGAAGCTACAAAATGACACATTTCAATGCTACAATAGGATAATTACTAAAAATTTAAATTGAAGTTCCGGGTTAACAGTAAACATTGCATTATAACATCAAACATTTACATTATGCGTTATATGCGTTTATCAATCATAGAGTATACGGCACTGAACTACAAAATATGCTACATTAAATATTAGAAATACGCTACAAAGTTAAATATATATTCCAGGTTGACAATAAACAATAACACTGCATTGCAACATTAAGATTGAAGATTACTCAGAAGTCATAGTGTGTTAGGTATATCCCTATAGTACACTATATTATAATATACACTATATGCATTCATAAAGCAAAGAATGTGCGGCATAAAATGACACATATCAATGCTACAATAGGACAAATACTAAAGATTAATATTTAAAAGTTCCGGGTTAATAGTAAACAGTGCATAGTAACATCAAACTTTTACATGGTGCATTATATGCGTTTATCAATCATATACGAAATATACTACAAAATATACTACTACAAATAATAATACTAATACTGAACTACAAAATATACTACACTAAACATTATAAATACACTACAGAATACGCTGCATTACATTATTACAAAATACACTACATTTCGATGATACAGCAGGACAATTACTAAAAATTGAAGTTAAATTCTTGGTTTGCTGTAAACGCTGCATTACAACAGTAAACATTTTACATAATACGTTAAATACGTTTATCATTCATTAAGTGTACAGCACTAGACAACAAAACATACAAAATTAAATGCTACGATAAAACAATTATTACAAATTAAACTATAAGTTGTAGATTAACAATAAACACTGCATGACTACATGAAACACTATAAATAAATATTGCATAGTACATGAGACATTGTTTAGCGTTTATTTACATTATGCGTTATATGCGTTTATCAATCATAGAATATACGGCACTGAACTACAAAAAATACTACATTAAATATTATAAATACGCTACAAAGTTAAGTATATATTCCAGGTTGACAATAAACAATAACACTGCATTGCAACATTAATCATTGAAATTGAAGATTACTCAGAAGTCATAGTGTGTGAGGTGTATCCCTATAGTACCTTATATTATAATATACACTATATGCATTCATAAAGCAAAGAATGATGCGGCACAAAATGACACATATCGATGCTACAATAGGACAAATACTAAAAATTAATATTTAAAAGTTCCGGGTTAATAGTAAACAGTGCATGGTAACATCAAACTTTTACATGATGCATTATATGCATTTATCAATCACATACGAATATACTACAAAATATACTACTACAAATAATACTACTAATACTGAACTACAAGATATATTACACTAAAAATTATAAATACACTACAAAATACGCTGCATTACATTATTACAAAATACGCTACATTTCGATGATACAGCAGGACAATTTCTAAAAATTGAAATTAAAATTTTGGGTTTACAGTAAACGCTGCATTGCAACTGCAAACATTTTACATAATACGTTAAATACGTTATCATTCATTAAGTGTACAGCACTAAACAAAACATACAACATTAAATGCTACGATAAAACAATTATTATAGATTAAACTATAAGTTGTAGATTAACAATAAACACTGCATGACTATATTAAACACTATAAATGAATATTGCATAGTACATGAGACATTGTTTTGCGTTACGTTGAACGCTACATTAGGTATCCCATTAGGCACTACATTATTACGCTTTATTAGGTGCTATATGTGACATTGCATGAATACCTTTGAAAATGATATCAATAATAGGTTAGATAATACACTGCATTACATTAAACATTACAGCAAGACAATGACTATAAGGGTATAATGTAAATTCCGGTTTATCAGTATGCGCTACAGGTATAGTAAGCACTACAGGCATTGCAACATCAAACATTTTACATGATACGTTATATACGTTTATCATTCATAAAGTGTACAGTACTAAACTACAAAATATACTACATAAAATGTGACTATATAACAATTATCATAAATCAAATTACAACAATTATTAACATTATTAATTAAATCATAACAGTTATTATTAGTATTAATTACCGTTATCAGTCAAATTATAATAATTATATTATATTACAATTAAATTATAATAATTAATAATTAACACATTATGTACAGATGAAATATCAAAAGCTACATCAAATGATACATTATACACTACGATTGACATTGCTTGAATCAGGAGATAACTGAGGCTTAAGTAACTATTATAAAAATCAGCATTATAATGCATTAAATCCAATGTTTAGGAAGGTTGGCACAGATCCGTGCCGAGATGAAATAATTTTATCATGATGGAATTAATTTTTTGTATAAGGTGTCGCTGTTTAATGATAAATTTACTGAATGCCTGTTGATTCTGTGCAGGAAATGGTATGTGAAATTCGCGTGTTAGCTCACAGGAGGTCACATAGTGTTCTGGCGTACCTAACTGGCCGCAAACACAGATATGAGAAGTTGCGATTTGAAAACGTGCAAAGTAGTGAGTGAGTGAGTGAGTAATTATGGCGCAAAAACCAGAGATGATTATGACGCGCCAAACAAAAGATGAGATGATTACAATTGATGACATTAAAATTCAATAAATAAAACAAGTAGATAAATGTACCAAATCCAGAGGATGAAGTCATATAAAACAAGTTAAAAGCACATATTAACATTCAAGACACAGTCTTCAAAACAAATTACATTTGGTAATAAAAGCCAATCTCTTTTAAATAATAAAATAAATTAGAATTGACCTCTCTTCCGATTAAACGGTCGAGAGGTAAGTCACAGCTATTAAAATATTTCTGGCGAAGACTATTAAAACATGGACACTCAATTAAAATATGACGAACAGATAAACAAACATTACAATTAAAACAAACAGGCTCATTTTCAGCTTTAAGAAGATAGCTATGTGTGACTCTGGTGTGACCAATTCTGAGTCGAGTCAAAAGAACGTCCTCTTTACGATTTCCAGCAAAATCCCAATGCTCAATTCTAGGCTTTGATGTTTCTCAACTTGTTGTGATGCTGAACATCCCAAATTTGCTGCCATTTTTTTCGTATCTTTCCCTTGATGACACAGCAGATGTCTCTAAAAGGGATAAGGCGACTGGACAGTTCGAACAGCAGATTTTGCCG